GCCAGGGGTAAATGAAATGACCGGATTGATTGTCTGTATTCTCTAGAGATTTTTGCCCAGGGAGCCCCTAGTTAGTATAGAAAACAGGGAGGTAGGAGCTAGGCCTTTTCCTCTGATACACAGTATGTCTGGGTTATGATTTTAGCATTAGTTACTATAGGCCCTGCCACTCCAAGGTAGGGTGATGCCAGGTTTTGGTGTTCCCCAAAATGTGACCTAACAGTGGTCATCCGGTGGTGTCATCTTAATAAGCACATTGAATGGTCAGTGTTGAAGTTAAGAAAGAAAGCTTAGAACCAGTTATAAATCATTGGCCATAATTAGATATAGCCTTGATGTTACGTGAGGGCTTATAATTTTTCAGAGATGACATTGCCTTTGTTTTTTTTTTTTTAACGTTTGGTTTGGTTTAGCCATAAAGGTAATCCTTCATCTGGTCTCCTCTCCCCTCCGATAGGTCTGATAACTCTCGAGGAACTACATCAGCAGGTGTTGAAAGGAAGGGGCAAATTCGCACAGGATGTCAGCCAGTAGGTCTTGCCTTCCAATCCCTTGCAATATAGAAAAGTCTTTAAAAACCAGGTTTTTAAACCAAGTTTCCTTAAAAACTTTTCTCTTTCCTGCTCATTATCTGTAGGCTCCTTTAGGAATTGTTTCATCCCAACATGCTTTTTAGAATACTGAAAGTACAGAGATCTAAAAAAAAACCCCAAAACCACCCATTCCCAAAGGAGAAATGACAACTGTTAACATTTCGGTGTATTTCCTTCTAAGCATTATTATTTTTTTTCATGTATACATGTGTACTGTTACTGTTTTTTTTCTTTTAAACTTGAGGCTGTGTAAACGCAGGATTACTCGAGGTTAAGGAAATGAGCACATGCACTCAGAAAGGCTGGGGCAGGGGCTGGGGGTCAGAAGATGGGGCCCGGCCTCTCTCTAGGGGACTTCAGTGTGAGACATGGTAAAAAAAAAAAAAAAAGCTGTCAGTATGTGGGCTGGGTATATGGTCTACACACTGTTTTGTGGGGTTTCTTTACCCCCTAATTTGAGTTCATTGCTAACTAGGAAAAAGCCAGCAGGAGCGGGCCCAACTTTCCACACAGCAGTCAGCAGCTGGTTTGCCCTTTGCAAAAGTGGATAAGCGTGTTCTACTCTGCCATAGTTCACACCGCTGCCTGCTGTCCCCTGCCTTGAGCTCATTCATTCACATTTCCCGAAGGGCTCGCGCAGGCATGTTTGTGACCTCTGGCCGGGGTTCGCGTGGTTAGCTGAGTGCGGAGCCTGATACCTGGTAACGCCTCCCTCAAACGTCCTGGGCACCGTTTGGTGCCCTTTGACCCCGCCTGTTCACTCCCGGCATTGACTGTCGCCGGTCTTCTGAGTCTCCCGTCCGGGTGTCCAGCCCAGGGGCCGAGCCGGAAGCGCGCCGTCGCTAGGCCTGGCCTGCCAGAGGTGTTTCAGCGGCTCTTCCCCACCCCAGAGACGACCTCATCCGGGCCATCAAGAAACTGAAGGCGCTTGGTACTGGCTTTGGCATCATCCCCGTGGGTGGCACCTACCTCATCCAGTCCGTCCCAGCCGAGCTCAACATGGACCACACAGTGGTGCTGCAGCTGGCAGAGGTAGAGCGCGCCTTCCGAGGGCCCAGGGCCGACGGGGCGGGACGCGCGCTGGGGGAGCGGGGCGGGGGGGGGGGAACGCTCTGGCCTTTTCCCCGTAACTCAGGTCCTCTGCTGGGACTGTCTAGGGGACGCACTACTCAGACCTGTGCTTCTTTAGAAGACGTTTATTGAGCAGCTACAGTGCGAAGCACCGGGCCAGGCTGTGGCACGCAGGACGACGGGGACCACGTTGTCCCTGCTCCGGAGGAGCTTACAGTCTAGCGGGGCAGACAGACATGCAGACAGCGGACTGTATTTTCTCGTGTAGACAGGTTCTTGGATACCTTCTTCAAACTACTTTACCGACGGATTCTTCAGAACAAACATCTGATCTCGTTGACCGGGCCCCTGTGCCTCGGCGTGCCTTACGCACAGTCCCTCTTCCCCCAGATCCTTATCATGGCTTTAGGGAAGACACGTTTGGTTTTCTTTCCTAGAACCAGAACAAAACTAAACAAGGAGGGGCATATTGGGGAAGGTCACCACTCCTTCCTGCCAGTTCATTATTCTGAGTCGCGCCATTCTCTAAAGTTCTCGGAGAAAGTCTAATGTTTTAGTACCAGGGATCCCCTTTTTAGGACTGAAGCCCCCACCCTACTTCTTGTTACCTTTAAAATCGCTTCTCTCTCTCGCTCTGCTGGGACTTCTAAACATTCTTTTTCTGCGCTCTCAGGTTAGGCTTCGCCCAAGGGCAGTCCTTGGTCCCAATGGGTAACCCCGCGGTTGCGGGGCAGACGCTGGGTTCTTAGGGAAAGCACGCCGTTAACCGACTGCCCGTTCCTCCTTCCTCCAGAAAAATGGCTACGTGACCGTCAGCGATATCAAAGCCAGTCTGAAATGGGAGACCGAGCGAGCGCGGCAAGTGCTGGTATGTGAGTTTCGGAACGGCCCAGAAGACAGGGCCCCGGACTGGAGGAGGAGGGTGGACAGGCAGCACGTGGGCAGAGCCTAGCCTTGCCCGCTGGCCTCCTGCCTAGAAGGCACGCAGAAGCGACCCCACGTCTGAGGGCGGCACTGAGAGGCACAGCCGAGGCAGGCTCCCAACTGCGGTAGGCGAGCCCCCCACCTCTCCTGGCTCCAGACTGGCAGAGCCTGGGCAGACCATTCACACAGTCTGTGTCGGAAGTAACGCCGTTCACACAGAGCGAGGGGAGTTTTTAACTACTTCATTCCACAGCCGGAATCGTATACTCTTCTACTGCATGTTGTACTTAGTTTTTTAGCTACAGATTTCATGGTACTAACGAAAGGCTGATGGGAGGGAGGAGTATGAGAATGTAACCCTGGCTTTCATACCTTCTTCCTTACCCAGGCAGTTTAACTAGGCTTCATTTCTTCTGGAAAGCAGGGTAGCAAAAATATCTGTTTAATGATGCTGGGCACAGCCAGCCCCTCTTGGGCCTGTTTGCAGCTGTAGGAACTGCTGAGTCCGTTCTAAGCCAATACGGCCCTTCCATTCACTGCTCCGTAAAGCTTTACCCACAAGGCAACGAACGGACACGGAACTAAAACGGTGACTCCATTTTGCTTCTGGGAAACAGGGTCAGGGATTTGCCCAGGGCCCTGCAGCGAACAATTCTGTGGCCCCCCACATCCCTTCCGTGACGCCCCGCTCTGCTCGCCTTTCCCCCCTTTTCCATCAGCACGGGGAAGTGATTCGGTAGCACTTCTTGCACCTCAGGCCAGGGTCAGGGCCAGACAGCTCTGGAACCGCAGTCTGATTGTGTAAGTGTGTGAAGGCACTCGGGCAGATCTGGTTTGAAAACCCCAGTGAAGCCCAAATAGGTTTGGGAGCTGTCCGTGCACCCTCCGGCGACCCTACCCTTTTCACAGACGCCTCTCCCCACCTCTTCCCTCCAGGAACACCTGCTGAAGGAAGGGCTGGCCTGGCTGGACCTGCAGGCCCCGGGGGAGGCCCACTACTGGCTGCCAGCTCTCTTCACCGACCTCTACGCCCAGGAGATTACAGCCGAGGAGGCCAGAGCAGCGCTGCCCTGACGCCGGGGGTGCGGGGGCAGCGGGCGGGCGGGGGATGGAGGGGCTGTTGGTGAATAAAGCCTGAACAACTTTTTTTTTTTTAAGAGTTCCATGTTTTTTTGTTGCCTCTATACTTTTCACCCATTATAATTTTTCATAAAGTGCCTTCACATTGCATCTTTAATGGGGAGAAACCTCAATTATCCAGCAACGAGGACCTGGGTGACACAGAGCAACGAGCACGCAGGAAGTGACCTGTACGGGTCACCTACAAGTTCACGGTAAAGCTGGGTCTAGAATGAAGGCTGGCTGTCTCCTGCCTACATGGCTTAGTCTCTTTCTAGCCCCAAGACAAATTACAGCCCACTAGTTCCCGCCCGGTCCTCATAAAAATGTTGATCTCAAACCAGCAGACCCTAACTAAGGGACGGAAGCAGGTATAGCCAGTCGTTCCTCTCCTCCAGCCTCCCCGAGGGCTTGCAGGTTCTGACAGACACGGCTGAGTGAAGCCGAGGTTGTTAGATGGTGGGTAGAGGAAACCGTGGGGTCCAGGGGCACTGACCCAACAGTGCACCTACGTGGTGGCGTTTCTCGCTTCCCAGTAGCTCTCCCCCTCGTGCGGCCCACTGGGTTCCTCCAGCCTCAGCGGTGGGAAGGAGCACCTACCCCACACCGTTTTATATCCCCCCCCCCCCCGCCCCGAATCCTCACGACCACTCCTCTCAGCTAAGTAGGCACCCTTAGTGTCTCGGGCGAAGTGTCCAAGGCCTCCACCAGAGGCTGCCAGCTGAAGAAGCAAAGTGAGCAGCCCGCGCCTCAGCGCACTCACAGCAGGCCCCCCTTTCCTGTGTCCGGGCTTCGCGCGGCACGGCACCGCGTGACCTCTCCCCATGCGCGTGGTCGGCTGAGAGGAAAAGCCTCTGCGCCAGAGGCAGGTGCCTTCACTGAGTAGGGGTGGGGGTGATGAGCCGAGGCTGGGCGAAGCAGCGTCCTCACGGTCTGAATGCTGAATTCCTAAGGGCCGGTTAAGTGCCAGAAACCAGAGAACCCAGTGGTTTGGATTATCCAGACTCGAGGCCCCCTTTCCTCACCAGGAGACACAGCCCAGGCGGTGCCCGGGCTCCAGAGCTGCCTGTCCCCGTGGGCCATGCTCACTGCCAGGCTGAGGGAGCCTCTCACTGGAAGCAGCTGAGGCCAAGGTGGCGCGTCTGCTTCTGGTCGGTGGGAAAGTTGTCACCAGTGGCTTTTGGGCAATTCACTGATCACGGACACTGTCAGATCCGGGCGTCAGGTGTGGTGGTTGAGGCCAATCCAGGCTCCCCTTGCACAGACCCTCCCACACCCACAGGCGCGTCCTCCTTCTGCCAAAACAAACTTTATTGCACCAAAAAGAAAAAAAAAACTTCATTTATGTACAGTCAGATATAAAGACATCTCTTGGACTCCTGTGCATATATTTCCTCAACTCAAGATTAGGGCGTAAAAGTCAGGCCGGTCCGCCAGACATGGTCTGCCTGCGGCAGGGCCAAGGAGAGGATTGTCACTTGAAAGTGGGAACACTTAAATGGATGACAGACAACCACTGGACCGACAGACCAAGGGCATCCTTCTAAGCCCTGTGCTAGCTCTGGGAATGGAAGAGGAAGTTGGAAGCAGGGACCCTGTTTGAGTCGAAGACTCTGCCTTAGGCATCCCAGATCAACTTCCGTTCCCCAGGCCCACTTCCTGTCCAGCTTCTTTGCTTCCTGCTCTCCCAAGTGGGTCGTTCTCCTTGGTGCCCAACTCCTCTGCCCCGCCCCCCCCACCGGGAAGTCCCACGACATCTCCCCTCCCCAGGAGGAGGCCTCCATGGCGGTGGGCGGGGCAGGTACAAGTGCCCCTCTCCCTCTCGCCTCTCCCTCTCGCGTGGCTGGGTACTGACTGAGGCCCTGCGTCACATGGGTCACCAACGCCCCACCGGGAGCCATAACAGGAAGAATCTGGAAAACACGGGGAGAACACGCCAAAAACGGGAAAGCTGGATTCCCTCAACGCCCAGTACCACAGGGCACCTACAGCACGTGTTTCCGAGCCAACCAGCTAAAGGATTGCTGCAGCTAGATACGGAGAGAGAAGCGACACGGCCAGGCAGATACCCATCAGAGCTAGTGACAGAGCAGCTGGGGTGGGGGGAGGGGGCAGGGGAGAGGGGAGGAGAGGAGCCCAGAGTCCCAGCCCCCTGTGCCGTTGGCTACCTTGCTCCCCACGAGTTCCTGGGCATTGAAGTTGAGGCAGGGGGCGGGAGGGGAGGCAGAGGCGGGGGTGAAAACACACCAGGACCCAACAGGGTTGGCGCGCGCCCCCCCGCTGCACCCCGCCCTCAGGAGAAGTACCCTCATCGCGGCGAGCGTTTCCGAAAACCTGTAAGAAACTATTCTATGTAGTGGCTCTAATGCCGTGCGCACAGCAGCCGGCCGTGTCTGGGAACTTTTCAAACCAGTGATTGTGGGGACAAAATCGGCTTCTCGGGGTGCCTGCGTGGGCTTCGGCCGAGACCTTGGTTCAGTCCCAGTCACGTTTACCTCTGGGGACCGGGGAGGGGCCGGGGGGCAGGGGAGAAAGGTGCTCAGGTGCTAGGTAAAGCTTACTGATCAGCAGCCTAGACTCCACCACTGTTCCTGCTCTTTGGTCTGTCTAGAACAGTGACTATAAATTAGGAGAGACAAAATTATGCCAGCCCATGGGAACTAATGAAGAGAGGCGGGGAGGAAAAGGGCGTCGGGAAGCCCTGCGTTCAAGACTGCAGACAGACAGACAGACAGACAACCACCCAGATTGCTCAAGTGTCACAGACAGCCCCCTCCCCCCCAGCTCTCTTCCGGGTATCCCCACAGATCGGCTGCGCACACTCCCTCTTGGAATCTCAGCTCTGTCTCCCACCTACGCCTAAGGAGCCGGCCCCGCAGAGAGGTGTGTCAGTTGTCGCGGTTGTGCCAGAGGCCCTCGGCCGGGGTGCTCCTGCACAGGGCCCTGGGGCCCCGCTATGGGACGAACACAGCCCCGGGCGCTCGAGAGCCGGGGAGGTCAGATGGGGAACGGCCTCCCCACTCCCACAGCCTGGGACCCGAGCTCGCTTGGCCTTTGCCATCTTGCAGGATGACGTCACGTTTGGAGGGAGGTACACAGTGCCTCTCCGTCCCTGGGGTGGGTGGGGGAGGGACTTTGCTGGGACTCTCGAGTGGGGGGAGGGGCGAGGGGAGCAGGGTCTAAACCCTCAGGCTCCCATGCAGGTCTGTCTCTGTCCCAGACGAACTGCTATCAGAGTCCATTTCGGCGTTCTCGTTATGCAGCCTCTCCAGCACTTTCTGACGAATCAGTCCCAGGCGCATCAATAGGGACTGGTAGTCAAAGTGGCCACGCTTCTCTCCAAAAGGGTCCTGTGGGGGAAAAGGAGACAAGGGGGATGGAAGATTCGAGTCTGGATGGCTCCCCCTAGAGAGCACAGCTCCGGGCCCACGCCAGATGCACATTCGACTCCTCGACTCCGGGAGTCGCTGGAGCGGAGGACGGTGCAGCCCTGAGGTCCCGCCGGCAGGCGACCTAACGCAGGAATAGTTTAGAACCTTGTGGCACGTTCAGCACCCAGAGAGGTCTGGCGGGGGCCACCACGAAGATGTGTTTTGTTCCCTGCAAGCCGCTATGTGGAAGGAGGCCAGAGGAAAGGTGAGGCGGATCAGGAACAGAAACTCCGGACCGGAGCTGCAATCCTGCAAGGCGCCGGTTTCCAGCGAACTTCGTAAAAACCACACGCGAGAAAAATTAGCCTTCTTTTTTCACACACTGAGAAAAAAGGAACCTGCTTTCCCAACGTCACGGGCAAGTCTAGAACTCAGGCCTTCCAGAGACCCGTCACCACCTTCCTGTCCAGGTCTCTGGGGCTCGCTCCAGGGCCACCCGGCCCAATCCCACATCAAAGATCTCCAAACGTTTTGTAGAAAGAGGTTATTAACGGTCCCAAAAGTGTCAGGAAGGACTATGGCTGGAGCGGAGGGTCTAAACAAAAGGAACGTGAAATGCGCGGAGAGAGAACACGGCGGCAAAGCAGCGAGGCCAGGGACCCCTCTCCCGGTGAGTCCCGAAAAGGTCCACGACCTTCCCCTCACTCACTTTCTGCTTCGCCCACGTCAACGCCTTCCGCACTCTTCCCCCCCCCACGGCGCCCTCAGGCCAGGGAACACGAGGCCCCGCTCACGAGGGTGACGGTCCCCGAAGGCTGGACCCCACGCCTCCTCTGGGGCTGTCAGCCCTCCCGAGCTTCCCGCTCTCAGCCTTGGCTCCGCGGCCACCCACTTCCCTCCTCCCCAGACGCTGCTCTTCCCTCTCCTCTCATCGCGAGTTATTTTTCCTCCACGGAGTGAATGTCAGAAATGCTTTCAAATCCCAGCCCCGAGACGTCCTGGTGGCCAGCAGCCCATGGCAGGCGGCACACAGCTGCGACTCTAAAAAAAAGGGGTCGGGAAACAAGCGGACCCTGAGCCGCCCTTGCCCGCTGAGGCTGTTGTTCTGTTTTAAAGTAATCTGTGCCCCCAATGCTGGGGCTCCGACTTACAACCCTGAGATCAAGAGTCGCGCGCTCTACCGACGGAGCCGGCCGGGCGCCCCTGCCCTTGGAGTCTGAAGGCGGCGGGTGGGTGGGGAGTCCGTGAAGGACGGAAGGGGAAACGAGCGTTTCTAAGCAGCAGCAGCGGAGGAACGAAGACATTTACTCCTACTGCTGGTGGCGAGCGCTGGGCTCAAGGGCTGGAGAGGATCTGCGAGGGCTGAGTCGCGTGTGCAAGTCAGCACGATTCGACAGCGAGACGCCAGTAAGTGATCCAAGCGACGCAAGAACTGGCCCGCGGGGCAGCAGGAGTCTTAACAACCGGGGTTTTTATATTTGAGCCCATTTACACTTTGGTTTAATTAGAACCTCCTCTTCAAAACAAGCCTAAACTCTGCATTCTGTTTTTTTTTCCCTTAAGAGTTTTTGTTTATTCTAAGAGAGAGAGCACGAGCAGGGGAGGGGCAGAGAGAAAGTCCCCAAGCGGCCCCGTGCTGTCAGTGCTGACTCTGACACGGGGCTTGATCTCGCGAACCGAGAGATCATGACCTGAGCCAACGGACACTTAGGCAACTGAGCCCTCCCCGCCCCCCCCAAGGCGCCCCTAAGTGCTGCACTTCCCGGGTGGAGGCAGAGACCAAACAAGCGCTTACCATCTTTGTCACGGACTCTTTCAACACACAACGGCACACGCCCAACGTCGCCCTCGGCCTCGCTCTCAGAGCACCCCGCTGAGCTAGGGACACACCTCCCCCAGAGGCTTCACCCTTGTAACGGTGGCAGATCCTGAGGAGGCGGAGCATTCTTGGTCTGAAAAGACTACTACGGGGGGGAGGCATTCCAGACCAGCCCACAGGACGGTTCGGACTCTGCGCACCGGCCCCTCGCTCGCGCCCGCCGACAACTGAGAAGTGGTGCGACACGACTCAGGCGAGTCCGTCTCCTCTCTGGGCCGCGGCCGCCACCCCTGCGGGGGGAGTCTACCCGGTGTGCTGTGAGGCGTCTGGAGGCGGTGACGGGCTGAATTACCTGCATCGTCTGGCCTTGAAGGTGCAGGCGGTCTTTGCAAGCCACCTCATAGAAGTCGTAATACTCCAGGAAGGACTTCTCCATCACCCCGCTGGAGAACAGGCAGAGAAGCTGAAGTCAGGGACACGGCGGGGAAGGGCGCACCCCTTCCGCGCCTAACCCCGCCGCCAAATCAAACAGGCGGCTCCCGAGCCCGGACGCGGTACCCTTCAGCAATCTTTCAACGCAAGAGGGAAAAAGGGACAGCTGACGGCCTGTGGCTGGTTTCTCTCCTACGTCAGGGACTATTAAAGGAAAGTGACTGTCAGGACTTTCCCGGCGGGCTGCGCCCTCTCCACGTAAAGAGAAGCTCTCTGAACTTCCTCGAGTGACTCTCGGCCACGGCCCTGGGAAGGCACGAGCCACATCTTTCCCTCTGCGGTGCCCCCCGGGTGCCCCACACTGCATTCTGCCCCAAAGACTCTCCAGGGGACGAACGGGCAGAATCTCCAAACAGAACACCAAGCACCCCGTGGGCTCTCCTGCCACATACGTACCGTAAAGGCTCGGGGCAGGGACACTTTCCTTCCATCATGTCACAGACCGCCACTCTGATGGTCTCGTGCCGAATACATTCGTTGTAATTTTTGCTGTCTCCAGGATGTCTCTCCTGTAACCGCACAGCCAAGAGCAGCCGAGTACGGGATGTAGGCAAAGAGAAAAGTCAACAGGGGGAGACTTCAGGATTCATACGGGGCACGTGACCCAAGCAAACGCATCAAGGGAGACTGCCTTTCCGACCGCGGGGCCGATCCACCAAGAGCAACTAAGGTTTTATTTTTGAGACCATTCGCCTCCCCCGCCACGCAGGCCAAAACCCAGCCTCTGTTACACGTCATTCAACCTGTAAGCAGCCAACTAGTCCCCCACCCCCCAGTCCCCTAAGGCTGAAACGAGAGGCCTCTGAGGTCGAGTCTGTGGGAAAGAACCAATGGTAGGAATGGTGGCGGGGATGGGAAGGTACACTTGACGTTAGGAGTCGCAGTAAAGAACTCTGTCAAGGCCAGGATGCTTCCCGGTTAACTCCGTTTCACGTCTGCAGCCGTCCACCAGCAAGCCCTGCGCCAATGAATACGAATCTATCGGAAGTAGACAGTGAACTTCAAAAGAAAACTCCAGCTTTGAGAAAGCCGGCATGAATGCGCGAGTGTCAGCGGGAGGGGGTACAGTCTTCCGTCCCTGTAACTCTTCCATTGCTCCTCAACGCTCCTCCTGCCACCAGCCCAGCAATCAGAACCTCGGCCTCTGATAAAAACACGGCACGAACAAGAAAGAGATGCACACCCTCGGTCCACTGCCGTGGTTTCCGAAACGCATCACGGTGAGATGCACCCACAGGGGTGCCGTGGGGCGCGTTGAGGAAAACCAGCGTTCACCACCTGTCACACCAGGCAAACTACTAGCTGGCGCTCAGAAGGTCAGTTCTCTGAATCCCAAGCAGGCTCCACGCTGTCAGCACAGAGCCTGGTGTGGTGCTCGAACTCACAAACCGTGAGATCAGTGACCTGAGGTGAAACTAGGAGTCGGACACTTAATGACTGAGCCCCCCAGATGCCCCCCAGTGGGTCAGTTCTTACGTTAAACCCGATTCAGTTCTTTCTGATGATACATGATCTTTGGGAAGCCGGCCTGTCCCTGACTACCAGGATAACTAGCAAGTAGCCTATGAACACCATGGGGGAGACAAATGGGGACAGTGGGTCCCATCTGATTCCAAGATCGTCAAAGTTGTGTGGGGCCCAACGACAGTACTCTTCCTGTCCTTAAACCATTTTAGTTATTTAAGGAAGAAGTTGCTTGGACCTAACAACATAAGAAAGGGATCAGCCGGGCACTTCCTTCTGCCGGGGGGGGCTGGGGGGGGCCGCGAAAAAGCCACCTAGACACCAGGGGGCTGTGAACGGAGAATGTTTTGGAGTACTAAGAATAAAAGTCATGGGATGCCTGGCTGGCTCAGTCAGTGGACTGTGGGAGTCTTGACTTCAGGGTTATGAGTTCAAGCCCCACATTGGGGGTAAAGACTAATTAAAAATGAAATCTTAAAAAAAGAGAGGAAAAAAAAAATCACACCTCTCAAATTTCCAGACCAGGGAAGACCTTAAAATCAGCTCTTTGGTTAGCAAATAAGGCCTTTTCTATTTCTACCGAAGCCTGAAATCAAATACGCAATTTGTTTGGAAAGGACGGTTGGGGGAATGACTTTTGTGCATTCATAAGTGGTAATTCCCTTTGTTCTAGTCAAAGAGTTTAAAAATTAAACTTTTAATCACCTTGACAGAATTATTATCTTTGGGGATTAGTACTGGAACTCTTTTCTTCTGCTTGTGAGTAATCCCGGCTGGGGGTTTTGAACAATGGAGGAACTCTGGGCTCCAGGGCAACTATTGGGTTCTACCACCATCTGTGTGTCCTTGTGAAAGTTAACCAACCTTTCCATGTCACCATCACCTCATCTGACAGTGGGGACAACATCTATCCCGAGTTAGTATAAAGATCGAATGAGATATTATATGTAAGAATTCTGGGGCGCCTGGGTGGCTCAGTTGGTTGAGTCTCCGACTTCGGCTCAGGTCATGATCTCACGGTTTGTGGGTTCGAGCCCTGCATCAGGCTCTGTGCTGACTGCCAGCTCGGAGCCTGGAGCCTGTTTCAGATTCTGTGTCTCCTCCTCTCTCTGACCCTCCGCTGCTCACGCTGTCTCTCTCTCTCAGAAATAAATAAAACATTAAAAAAAAAAAAAAAGAATTTAACCAGTAGCCGGCAAATAGCATATCCTTGGAAAATACGACTCTCCTCTGCCTTCTCTTCGGCAGCACTGACTGAAATATTCTTTTTTCCTTTTTTTTTTTTTAAAGTTTGAGAGTGTGTGCTCACGAGTGGGGGAGGGGCAGAGCAAGAGAGGGAGAGAGAATCCCTAGCAGGCTCCACGCTAAAAGTGCAGAGCCCGATGTGGGGCTCGAACCCACAAACCGGGAGATCATGACCCGAGCCAAAAGCAAGAGTTGGACACTTAACCGACTGAGCCACCCAAGAGCCCCCTCGACTAAAATATCCTTGCCCTGGCTGACGACTGGCTCCTGTGGCCCTTCAGCGAACAGGAAGAAGTCACTAGGAAACTCCTCAAGGGGATACTGGAGAACGGACACATACAGAAAAACAAAACTGCAAAACGGCCCCCAAAGCAGGCTTAGAATTTCCCGACTCCCACGCTGTAGATTAAGTCCCAACTCCCATGTTGTAGATGAACCCACGTCATATGGAAATAACTGGACAGTGTTATCATGACTCACAGGGAACAAAATTCATTTTCAAGGAATACACAAACCAGCTCCCTTTTTCTCCTATGGTGACAAACAGGACCCTCAAGCAGACCTCTCCAAACCCAGCATTCTGCCCCCAGTTCCCCCCCCCCCATTACCTGCTCAAAGCCAGGCTCATTGTGATAGGGGTTCTCAGTCATTAGGGACTGGATGGAGATGAGCACGGAAGAGATGCTCTGGGCTGGGCTCCAGGCAGGGCCGGTCCACGTACTGCAAAACACGCAGAAGGAAGGGAAGGGGTGAGGCCGGGAGAGCAAGACTAGTGCACCAGCACCCTGGGGCCGGGCCACACCACACCACCATCAGTGACTCAACTTTCTCTTTCACTATTAATGCTCTGGAATTTCCCAGCCTGTCTCAACCTCATTAGCCAGAAATCAGTCAACTACCTAATCCTCTTATCAAGTGGGACAAAAGAAAAGAGGGTAAAGCAAGCAAGATAACTTTGAAGGGATTTTCATTGGCCTAAGAAAGAAACAGTAACCAGGGAAGGTTCCGTTCATCACAATGAAAGGAGTAGGAAAACAGCCTCAAAGGCAGTCTACACTTAGCCTCTGTGGATCTCAGAGCTTACTTATTTCCAGGATTCAGGGAGGGGACCGAAGCCCAGATACAGGCACAGAGGGGCCTGAAGTCATCTGGTTAGAGGCCTTGCTGGGGGTGGGGGGTGGCGTTGGTGATCAGGGATCCTGTTCTATATCCAGCCCCCAAAGAGTGTCGAACCCTCTGAAGACTACGGAACACTGCCGAAGGACAGGAAGCGAGTAAGGGGCACTTCTACGCTGTAGAGGTTCTGAAGTAACGCGTGCAAACCCTCTGGAATAAGAGAGAACACCAAAATTGTTCCTCTCCTCCATACACCTGACTGAGGATTTACTGGAGGAGGAGGGCAGCTTGGACATTCATGGTGCTGCTTCTTAGCTCAGATGCCGCCTGATCTGGAGGCTGAACACGACCTAAGCCAGGACAGGCTTGTTCAAGTGAACTGGCCAACCCCCTCTCCCTGCTAAGCTCAGGGAAGCCCTGCTAAGCGGCCCAGGGAGGCAAGCCCATCATCGAGGCTTGCTCTTTGGACCCTCTCCTCAGCCTGCTCCCCTCAGCTCTGTTCCCCCAGGAACACCGGCCCTGCACTCGCTAAGACTTCACATATTTGGGGAGCCAAGTCAACAAGGTAAATTTTCATCACGTTTCTTTTGTCGCTAAGGCAGCCCCAAGCCTTTTTGCTGGGGCGGGAGGAAAGGACCTAGAGGCTGACCAACCAAAGCGGTAGTCCACTAAGAACGCACGAGAATCTTCTACTCATGTGACTCGTCATGGCAAAAGTTCAATCTCAAGGCAGCTTTTCCTTTTCTACCCCACACCTTTCGGCCGCTTTTACCCGCCATCTGACTTCCCCCGTTTCTAACGCGAGCTGATGTTTGTTCCAAATGGTTTTATACCGGCCTGGTGAAGAGCCTGGTACAAGGACGCGGTCATGCACCAATGTCACAGGGAACCCCCAGGAGCCTCGCCCCTGTGGGCTATATATACCGCTATCCTACCAGCAGAGACAAAAACCCTGGCGACCTAAAGGATCTCTTTAAGGACAACTTCTTTTGAAGGACTTCCTCACTGCCACCATCACAGGACACATCCCTGGATCTGAGAGATTAAAAGGAAGAAAGCAGCGCATCTCCAGTCTGGTTCAGCTACGTTTCCCCCCCACACCCTGGGCAACACCGCTGGACAAGAGAGAAAACAGTACCCCCACTTGGGGCGACTTTCCCAACTTCGACCTGCACTTGGCCTCCGCCCCAGAGAAATTCAGCCTACATGAGAAAGACCCATCCAGAATACGTGAGAAGGCGCTTCCATTCTGAACTGGTAACCCCCAAAGGCAGTAAGAGGGGCCAAGTGAGAACTGCACAAAGCAAAATCTCAGTTGCGCCCAGAATCCAGAGGTTCCCGAAACTTGTCTCCTGTCTGATGTGATCTCCAGCCTCATTTCCCGTTCAGTTGTTAAAATGCCATAATCACCTCCACCACCGCCGCCACCTCCAAAGCCACTCACTGAAGAGACTTGGGAACAAGACACCCACCATCTTAGAAGGGCAGAGACCCGCGGCCTCTCTCAACCTGTTCGGGAGAGAGGTAAGCCCTGATGCCCTAAGGGAGTGGTTCTCTGGCTGGCTGGACTGCATGCCAAAAACCACCCGGAGGGCTCGAAAGACACAGCCTGCTGGGCCCTACGCCCTAGAGTTTCCGATGTCGAAGTCCAGCGCGGAACCCCAGAACCCGCGGGGGCTACAGGTTCCCAGGCACTGCTGCTGCTCAGGGAGAGTCACTTCGCTACGGTCTCCGCGGTGGGTCCTAAGTTAACTTCTCTCGTTTGCGCCTAGGATGGCACCCCTCGTGTACTGTCCTGGGGAGAACTGAGGAACCAGTCACGCCAATCATTTCCTGCGTCCCGTGCTCCGGGTGAGGAACCCTGGCTGATAAAGGCTGGCCTGGAGTAATTATCTGCTAGCAACCAACTTGGCCACTTAGAGAAGTCTCCTCTTACCCTAGAATACTCAAGCAGACTTTCCCATTGCGGTAGAAGTTGGGGTTAAACCTCACTGTGTTATTGCCCGTTGTCATCAGTTTGACCCGAGGCGGGTGGATGGGATAGTCGGGCGGACACCGAAACACGAACAGGAAGAAACCCCCTTCATAAGGAGTGTCAAATGGGCCTGTGATCAATGCATGAATCTGCAAAATAAAACCCCATCTCAAAATCGTGAGGTGACGTCCCATCCCAACCCCTCCTGGTTTCCGCGTGCTACCCACACGGGAGGCAGGGCCTCCACCCGGTCTCCATCCTCCAGAGCTCACGGTGCAGGGCCAACAGCCTGCGCTCACGCATACGGGGGAGGAGGGTGTTCAGAATTCTGCGGAATCCCGTTACAGCGGAGTGGCGTCTTGCTCAGGGATTACGCTCTAAAGGCAGAGCCCAAAGTGGAAATCGAATCTATCAAAATCGCCCTCCCCCGAGTGTCCTTTAAAACTCCCGTACAGCGTGGTTTTGGTCTAGACTTCCCTGACCGGGTGCTAGAGAGAACAGATAGAGATGGACCACCGCTGGGCCAATCTGTACCACACTATCCTAGCAGGTTTAATTTTGAGAAACGAATCCGTATTTTCACGGAGTCCATCTGCTGGGATTTGCCGAGGTTAAACATGCCTAGGACGCGACCACGCCCTGTTTCTGTGGGGCGAAGAGGGGGAGGTGAGATGAATGGAAAGGATCAACGGGATCGGAGGCCACAGCACCCGTGCCAGTCACAGGGCAGAGCTGAGGGCTGGGATGGAGGCCTAGGGTGTTGCTTCCTCCGCACGGGGCTCAACTCTACTGCGAAGGATGTGGCCCAGGCACCCTCGAGCTGTGTCAAAGACACACAACAGAACGGGGAGAACTCAGGGTCCACTGGGAAGCCCATCAGACCATCCCCAGAAAGTCCCCCAACACTGTAGGTTAGTTGAAAAAAAAAAAATCAACATCCCTTAAAACAGAACGCTAAACTCTTTTCCTCTGGCCACGATTATTGAACAAGCTTTTCCTGAAAGGAGAAAAAGCTGAATGGACCCCGTTATGTTTCTTCTTCTACAAAGGCTCCTGGGCACTTAAGTCTGCTCAGAATTCTAACAGCAAGACGAAAGAGGACCTGCAATCCAATGCCTCAGCCCCAACTCTGTGTGTGGGGCGCCCCGGATTATCTTTTTGCCCTCGGCCATTTGGAACAGCAAGCTCAAAAGGCATCAACATGACATCAATTCTGGGACCCCAGGGACTAGCATATGAACGGTGATACTCGACCGAGCACACGATGTCCCAGGAAAAACATTTCCAACCACGTAAAAGGAAAAAAAAAATCAATTTACAGGGAAACCTATTCAAAACAAAAAATAGATATGCCAACAATATAAAGTTGGAACTTTAACTGTTAAGAAATGTGAAACTACCAAGGGTTTGCATTTAAACAAGACTAGATTTAGGAAATCTGATGTCTTCCCAACAGCAGTTCAAGGGCACATTCACTCCTGCGGGGAGAGCAGTCAGTGACAGAGAGGCCCAAGTATCTATGGAAAGGGAATGTAAGCTCTCTTCATGGTTATGTGGAAGACAAGACAGGAATGGTCTTGGGGGATGGATAGGGACATTCAACAGCTACCAGTAAGGACAGGAGCCTAAGCAAGGCCCTTTAAGCATCAACTCTTTCCCCAGGCTCGCCCCTATCCCCAACCTTCTCTCTGCATCTGATTTATAGCGCTCTACATAAAAGTCAAGAGTGGCAGGATGGGGGAAGAACTGGCTAGTTAAAATGAATGGGGGGGGGGGATCATACAATTTATCATCCAAACTGGAGCATTTTTGAGAGTGAAAGAGTGTCCTAATAATAGTTAGGCTGGGACCAGAGGCATAAACATGGATTTTCCAAGCCACCCAGACCTGCTGGCCCCTGCATAAAAGACACCTGTTCAGGGCTCTGCCCCACCTCACTGTGTGACCTTGGGCAAGCCACAGACTCTCCTGGGATCTTGCTTTATTCGTTAATGTAAACAGGGGTGTGAGGTGGATCATCTTTTTAGGCTCTTCCAACTTTCTGGGCCCAGGTTCCCGGTAGCCCCCAACCCCTTCCGAGTTACGTACCTTAGTCATGTCAACAGTATCAGGAACAACGAACATTCCTGGAGGAGGCTCCTTATAAATGGACATGATATCCCTGTATAACACCAAGAGGAGGTGGGGAAAGGAGTGAGGGAGAGGAGAAGAGAGGGGAATCCCTTGAGCAGAGCGGCTGTTACCACCTCAGGGCGGCCGGGGTTTGAGAGAGTGGTGCTTGGTACCACAAGTGTCTTGTTGGCCGAGAAAGCCCAGCTGAGGACTTGTCAGGCAAGCAGAGAGCAAATTATTATCAAAAGGGCATTGTTTCCTCCGGGGGAGGGGGGAAAAATATCAGAGATCCCAATGGCATCAGATGTCACCCTGGAAAAGCCACATCCCATTTACTCTCTCTTCCTCCCACAGGGCAGCTCATTCACTCCCCACCTCCGAGATTCCCAGGTACTACAGCTGAATGCTCAATGAAGACTGTTCAGTAGCTGGGAAGACATAATCAACTCCACTAAAAAAAAAAACAAAAACAAAAAAACAAAAACGAATTCCGTAAACCATACAGCGGACTGCTGTTGGCAAGAGGAGTAAAGGAAGGAAGCTAGCAAGGAGCAGGAATGGAGCAGAGATCTCTTCAGACTGGAGACCCGGGCGGGGTGGGGGCGGGGGCCTCTGAAATTGCCGAGAATCTCACGCGGGGAAGGAAAGCTGAGGCGCGGTGCCTACTGTAGATGAGAGGGCTTGTAGGCTGCACTGCACAACCTGGAATGAATGCATCAGTTGTGAGCAAGGGTCTAGAGGGCATTCTGGGTGGCAAAAGCCTAGGGACACTTGCTAGGGTACCCAGGGACATAAAGGGCAAACAAGTGAGAGAGCAGAGGGACAGAGGGACGCAGTACTGGCACAACTCACGGGTAAGTCAGGACTGGAAGACGGCACAGGAGTAGAGAGGGGCGCTGAGATTCAAGTTAGAGGTGGCAGCCCGGAAGGAGCTGGCTGGCATCTGTGTGAGGCCCTGAGCAAGGCACTTTACACACAGTGTGCTGTTCAATTTTTATTACCACCGTGAGAGGTACATAGAGACAAGTGAAGGGACTTGGGAGCGTGGGGGATGGGATTACCTAGGCGAGAGTGGCTGCAGTGGGCGAGGGCGGGAGAGGAAGAGGCTGGTCATCAGGACACAGCTTTCAGGATTCCAAGCAGCTAAAAAGCACTACTCTTTTCCGATGCGGTAAGTTCTACACTAAGCATTTTTGCCAAAACAGCATCTATTAAATGATACGATCTAAGGTCAGTCACCCAAGAAATAGGCACAGAAAGGACGTGGGCCTTTGTTCCTGTATTTGAACGGGGTGTATTTGCTTCAGAAAAGTAAACCAGATGACCCAGAGGGAAAAATACAAGAAAGTCTTGAGTGGGATATTACAAGCCAGAGTGGGGGGGGGGCGGGGGGGAGGCGTGCATTCCTGGAACAGGTTATGAGAGTGGACAGCTTTGGGGTTTTGGAGAAGTGGTTCAAGAAGAGACTGCGGGTATGTGAGGGACGCGACCCAGACTTGGGGAGAGGGTTTGAGGAGATGGGGAATAAAAAGAAAGGTTGGCCTCGAGTCTCGAGCCAGGGAAAGCAAGATGTACGTGTGTTACAAACGGGGCTCCGGAGGAGACGACGCGGGGGTGCGGGGCGATGGGTGGGGCCTCCGGGCAGCATCAAGCGAGGCTGGGGTGGGGAAGGGGGGAAGAGAGGCGGCGCGGAAGACCGGAGGGGGTGTTGCTGAAGCGCGAAAGGGTCGGGTTTCGGGCGGGAGGTATGGGGGAGGGCGTCGGGCACAGAGACAGGAGGACTACAGGGAGGGTGCCGAGGGGCGGGGTCGGACCCGGGCACTCGAGGAGGGGTTGGGTGCGTGTGGAGCTGCGGGAGGGGGGAGAGGGGACTTGGATCGCGACGTTCCGGGCTGGCAAGACGTAGGCCTTGGAGCTGGGCCGCCGCGAGGGAAGCGCGGAGGCAGCGGGCGGGAGGGGGGGGTGTAGTGGGAAAAGGGGGGGAAGGTCGAGCCCCGGAGCTCGGGGCTGGGGGAGGAAAAACCCCGGCTCACCGCTTGATCCGAAGTAGACACTGCGGCGCGGTTCGCTCGCCGTCCCAGTCGGAGCTGAGTGTGGGGTCCCAGTGGCTAAGCAGCGCGGCCCCGTGGGCAGCGGCCGAGGGCGGGAGCCCGGGCAGCGGAGCCAGGCCGCTCCCCGGCCCCCCGGCCCCGCCCGCCGCCGCCGCCGCCGCCCACACATCCGGCAGGAAAGGCGGCCCGAACCCGCTGCCGCTAACGCCAACGACACCGGCGACGCCGCTCGCCCCGGGGCCTGCCGCCCCGGCGCCCGCCGTCGCCGTCGCCGCCTCCTCAGTTGGACTCTCCGCCATCGCTGCTTCGCTTCCGGGACTGCTCGGCAGCACGTCCGCCGACCAGAGCGGCCGCTGCTCCCTCCCGCTCCCGCACCACCGAGAGCCGGGCCAGAGTGTCCCCACCCTCCGCTTCCACAGCCCGGGCGGCGCTGGCTCCGCCCACCCCCGCCCGACCAGCGAGAGGCGTTCGGCAAGAGCGTCCACCCACGGTCCTCCAGGGCGAGAGGGGGTGGGAACAAGCCGGCTCGGCCGGGGCTCTGGGTCTGCGTTGGTCTCCCGCTTTGTGGGCGGAGGGTCTGGGGCGTGCCAGGACGTCGAGGAGCGGTTAAGAGTCCCGTGTCGTGGGATATTTTATTTTCAAGTGTGACAAGAGGAGGAAAGAAGGGTCCTGTCCCCACCCTTAACGGGAGCGACCCTCAGTCATGTCCGTGGGATAGAATGGGGCTCTGGCTTCCTTGGGGGAGGCTCGAATAGATGAGTCGACTTGCTTAGGGCTCTTTAGGGTCTGAAAACCTCGAATTTATCCTTAATCCCCGCATCTTCACCCACGGAGGGCAGGCTGCCATTGACCCCAGCGTGCAACAGGACCAAGAGGAAGGAATCCGAGCCTGCGAGTGAAAAACGCCCTCGTTTGAGTTTATTCAATATACATTTATGAAGGGGCTACTAAATGCCAGGCACTGTTGCTAGGCGTTGCCATAGGGATAATGAAACAGACCTAGAGAAGCTCGGTAAAAGGAAGAAAATCAGGCTTCCTGCCTCCAAGCTCGGTCTTTTTTTTTTTTTTTTTTCTTCCCGCAAGTCCTTGAGTATAAAGGAATCAAGGGACTGGGAGCTTAAATTCTGGGCGAATTCCTCAAGACTCCTGAGCTATGCAAGGTGAAAGACATACTATGGACTAAGAAAAACAGAAGGCTTCCAAAAAAAGCTTTCCCTCTTCTCCCTAGCAAAAACACAGGCTCATAGTCTTATCGGGATACCCTTGGTCAGATATGTTTCATAATTTAGAGTAACGCTCCCAGTAAGGTCTGGAGCAGCACCCAATAATATTGGTATTTTGACAGCATAGTGTATGAATATTCATACAGGTCAAACAACTAGCCTCGCTCTAGTCTATTTTGCCTCCCAAATTGTTTTGTGGAAGAGAAATCCAGTTTTCACTGAGTCATGAGTTTTCTAGTAAGGGACCGTGGACTTGAATGATAATGGCAAACGTTCATTGAGGCTCAACACTTGTTTCTTCAGCTGGCATTTACTGAGTGCCTAATATGTGCCAAGCACTTTGTATACCTTGTCTTATTTATTCCTCTCAACAACTCTGTGAAGTACTATATTAGGCTCTGCCGGGTGGAGCCCCAGGCAAAGGCTTAAACCCATGAACTGTGAGATCATGATGTGAGCTGAAATCAAGAGTCAACCAACTGAGCTACCCAGCTGCCCGTCCAGAGAAAAAGTCCTAACCACTATGTGATACTGTCACAACCTAGAACTCTCCCACACTTACTGAATTTTACTTCATGGAGTCCTTTGTTAAATGATTTCATGTTTTGTTGGCATAGTGTTCTACCTCTAACAATAAGGATACCGAGGTATCTACGAAAGCACACACAAAAAACTGGGAAAAGCAGTTGCCTGGATCTGGATGGTTTGATTTCTGACCCAGGTGCGCCAAGGGATATGTATACCTTTTAAATATTGTACTGTACATCTATTGCCTATTCAGGTTATGTCTTATTCATCTTTAAAGGATTCTGGAATTTCGTTTGGGTATTATTTATTTAGTAAGATGGTCCAAAGTAACTTACTGATAATCTCACACAAAGAAAAACAATATCTATCCATTGCTCAATGGCTCCAGACTGCAGAGGTCCAAAGATGGCCCACGGGGTGAGAGGATTCCTCAGTGTGGCCCTCTCTTTACTACTGAACTACTGTTTTCAATGGACGGAAAACACCTTAGATCCAGAAGAAAGAGGGTCCAGCCTTTTATCTGTACCACTCTGCAGATGTCTATTTCTGCATCCATAGGATGGCGATGATTCTTACCTCTCAGAGATTTTTCTGATGATTACATGTGACGATCCCAGACATGTTTCATAGAGTGGCAAGCGCTGTCCAAATAATTAGCCTCGCGTTTGCCACGGACCATCTCTTCTCCAGGCATTTGCTCATATTTTCTCAATCTGCAATACTCTTTCCCTCTCCTCTACCAGGGAAGAAATCTCAGTTATTGAAACTCTGAGCCTCTGTTCCTCATCAGTAATATTGGTAACATGACAGTAGCTATAAAACAGAGATAATGTGATAATGAATGTGCACACTACCTGGCCAGAATAAATGTTCGATCATTGTTAACTCTTACCCTTACTCATCTTCGAGGCAGGTTGAAATACTACTTACTTTCGCTGCCAAACCTTACCGCCTCCAGGCATATTGTTATTATTACTATTAACTAGTCCTTTAAAATTATTCCGGCTTCTGGAGTAATTCATATCTTTATTAGAGCACATGCTTTTTACTTTAGTGGTTTGGTTACTCATCTGTCTAGCTACTACATATGACATATTCGAGGGCAGAAAACATGGGGATGGGGCACCGATCTTGTGTCAGTGAGTGCTGCAGGCCTGGTGGCCAGAGAGAAATGAGGACCTGGTAGCCAGTTGCCTTTCCGCTGGCCATGGATCGCTAGAATTTCTCCTCCTCTTCTTCCTCCTCTGGATACGCCTAGTTTCTTTCCAAAGGGCTGGGCCAAGCTTGCACAAAGAATCCACAAGTCAAGGCCCGAAGGGCTGTGAAGCAAGGCAGCTGCTTAAAGGACCAGCTCACCACTTCCCAGGGGAGCACCAGGAAGCCTCTAAGCTGCGGAAGAGAAGGGCCAGGAAGGGGCTAGCAGAATGTTTCAAGCTGGTATTACTTCGTCCAGTGTTTACTGACTTTTTTAAGGCCACACCTGGCGGCTTTCCTGGCAGCGTGGCCAGAGGACAAGAGTGGAGCTTCAGAGACCTCTCCTAGGCCCTCTGGGGATGGATGGGATGGCACAACTGAGTGGTCTTCCTACGTGAGTTTGGATCTAAGTGCTGGAATGCCCTGCACGGAGCCATCTCTTAGTGCAACAAAAGCTGGTAGCACCTTGCTCATGACATCTAGGCATGTGTCCTTCCCCAAGGACAGAGGCCAGCAAGGGTCCTAGAGTTCAGATCACTCAGCTCTCTCTAAAAAAGATAAATCACGAGGATCCTTCTCCTCCCTTTCCCGAAGTCCTGTGCCCCTCCGGAGCAGTCCTCTCCCTAGAGGGCCCCCAGCCTTTTGTCTTGGGCTCAATGCCAGGGATAGAGTAAGAGTTCCCATCCAGGTCATAAATCCTGGACTGAAAGGAAAAATCCGCACTTGGCCTGGGGGTTTGAGGCTTCTAAGTAATAATGGCTATATTAAAAAAATGTTTTTGTATGTGTTTACTTGTATTATCTCATGTTGTTGTCCCAAGCACCATGAATTGTTCTCACCCCCATTTTAGAGATGAGGAAATTGAGTCTCAGGGGAGAGAATCACCCAGTTAGGAAGTGGCAGGGATGGTGCGGGCCCTCCCTTCTGACTCCTGAGTCTAGGCTTTTTGCTACCATGCCGAACTTTTAAGGGAGTGGTCACTAATTGTTTTTGGTCGCTACCTCTCTGGGAATACAATGAAAACAATGGATCCTCTCCCAGGAACAATCCACCTCTGTATCTACTTAAAAATATTTTGCACTAAGCAAAATGCTTCCAGCCATGGACCCTAAAAGAATCTCAATGGTAATGGACCGACTAGTCTTGCTATGGGGAGGGAGGGGATGGGGGATTCTCCCCTGACTCTCTAGGGTTCAGTGGGCCCACCAACTACCTTCCTAACGTGGCTGATTTAGACTCGTAAGTCCAGCAGTTCCAAGGCTATTTGGAGACAATGCTCAAGGGAAATTCCTGCCAGCCCCCTTGGCAAAAACGACCTAGGTTCCTGGAGCTTTCCAGAAAGGAAGAGAACCAGCTTCCCTGGAGGCCGCTCCTTGATTACCATTAGAGGGTAGTGACCTAGCCAAGGATGCCAGCCTGACATCCCAAAGGGTTACCACGTCCCGTGTTCATGATGTTACCAGCTCGTCCACTGCTCCCTCGGGGACACCTCAGCTGCCAGTTTGGCCTTAGTTTTGCCTGGAGACGTCTGGGTTCTGCTTCAGGTTCTAGCACCGGCTTGCAGTGGACAACTTTGGGAGAATTACTTAAGGTAAAGAGGCCAGTAGTTCTGAACTGCGAGTGATTTTGCCCCCAGCCAGGAGACAGGTGGCAGTGTCTGGTATTTGGCAATTGGTCATCACCATCGGGGGAAGGGAGGTTGCTATGAGCATCCGGTGTGTAGAGAGGCCAGGGAAGCTGCCAAACACCACCCACCACCACGATGAATTGTCTGGGCCCGGATGTGCCAAGGGTGAGGAATCCTGTGGTAGCGGGCCACCGGATTGTTGAATGGATCTTAGAGGGGCCTGGAGTGGAATCCAAGGCCTGCCATGTGGTATCGAACTTGTCCGTGAACTTCTGAGAAGCTTAGATGAGTCAGCACAATGCTAAGAGCCTGGGCTCTGAATTCCAGCTTCGCTTATCAGCTGTGACTTTCACAGGTTCCCACACCTCCGAGCTTCTTTTTTTCCTTACCCGTAAAAGGACTGATTTCATAGGGATGTTGGAAGCTACTCACAGAAAGGGCTTAGCACTAGGCCAGATATACAGGCGCTCAAATGTCAGCTGATGTTATCGCAACACTCGCTCCCTTGCTTTTCCTCATCTATAGCACAGAGCTTCCGTACCCACATATTCAGTGTGGATTCTGTTCCGGGTTGAATGACTCTCTTCAGGCCCCAAACTCCCTAAGGGCAGGACCTTAGATTTCTTTGCCTTCCAAGGACTAGGAGAATGTTAAGCATTTGTGGATTGTCCTTCCCTTTGCATGTAAATCCAATCCATTCTTGTTAAACTCAGTTTTCAGTTTTTACCCCTCTTGGCTACCTGCCCTTCAGCAGGAAGGTGTTCTTTTTTTTTTTTTTATGTTTTATTTATTTCTGAGACAGCGTGAACAGGGGAGGGTCAGAAAGAGAGAGG